GGACATTACAGAATGACGGTCAGATCCAAAGGATGCAGGCATGTGAAATAAGTAAGTGGATTGCAGGAGCCCAAAGCTGAATTCAAACAAGAGTCCCTCAGAGGATGCCTAGTTCTGGAGGTACTTGGGAGTACTGTCTCGTTCCAGTCTTAGAGTCTGCCAGGCACTTGATATCTGTGCATGTCCTGACCTTCCCTTACCTGAGCAGTTCAGTGCCTCACTCCTGCCCAAGTCTCACCAGAGTGTCTGCTGCTCCACAGCAGCCAAATCTAACAGTTACATATCTGAAAAAACTTCATATGCTGACAGTCCCATTGTCACAAAATATATAGGGACACAGAACAGGAGAAGGCAACACTGATCATCGTGCCTGGTCCTCCATCACCAGAGACAACCAGAAGAGCATCAATTCAGGGCATAAAGGACTGAAGCCAGAAAAGCTTTCCCATGGCTGCTCCTTCCAGGTCTGCTTTTCTCACCAGCCACTCTGTCCCAGTGGTCACTATGGGCTCCCTGCTAACACCCCAGTGCGCAGGGTGGCTCTTCCTGCACAGCCGTAATCGCCTGCTTCAGAGCCCATATCAGATGTTATTTCTGAGGACCAGACTCACGCAGCCTTGCCACTGTCACAGCTCAGCTCAGCACTGGACTTGTCACGCAGGACTCTTCATTCAGAGCAGTAATAGCAGACTGCAAACACAAAGCTATGCTCTAGTGCCTGCACAGCACAAAATAGCGTTCAGCTGCTCAGTAGCTTAAATCCAAAGAACGCATCAACATCTTTTTATTATGTGCATTTTATTAAGTCCTTATATATTATATCACACTGTTTATCCTGTTTATAGTCTCCTCCAGGCACTTCTGCTCTGCTCACACCTACACACACATGCAGACACCAGCCATTAGCAGCATTGCTATGTTCCACTCATGCTATATATTGTTACATGTGAACATCTTCTTTCACTCAACACCACACATGACTGGTGCAGACCTTAGCTAGCCCTTTAATCTAACCGCTTCCCTACCCACATTTTATCCAGTTTCTCATTCCTTCAGTAGGACAGCTACAGTAACTAACATACTTCTTCAAGCCTTCAGAGCATTGCTTCTGTCTTGATACTACAGAGTAAGGAAAAAGTATCAGTCACCCCTATCAAATTAATCAAGGAAAATTTCCTTTCTGATGCCAAATTCGGTGATTAGTTTAATCCTGAACATGTGAGTAAAATACACCAAGGTGGCACTAAAAGGGTTTAAGTTCTCAAATCCATCAGCTCATTCTAACATAACCTTATTCAGGCTATCACTGCAGCCTCCCAGTGCTGCAGGGGAGGACAGCGAAAAACTGGAAACCACAGTTATCCATCTTCAGGAGTGGGGAGAATAAAAGAGGCAGAATATCTCTTTCCTTTACAAACTTTGCCAATGATCAGGAGAAATCCTGAAATACAGGATTGCTACAGCAGAAATAAAATGCAAATAAAAGTGCACACACAGTAGTCTAGTTTCAATTCATCTTTTTTGGAGAACTAAAGGATTTTTTAATGTTTCTCATTCTGGGATCAGCCTTTTCCCTAAATTTTTCATCACCGTTTGTCCTGGGTTGGGCTGGGACAGAGTTAGTTTTCTTTTCAGTAGCTAGAATAGCGCTGCGTTTTGGATTTAGTATGGGATTTGTTATGAGAATAATGTTGGGAGCGCACTGGTATTTATAGTTTGTGCTGAGATGAGGACTTTTCAGCTTCCCATGTTTTCCTAGTGTGCAGGAGCACAACAGGCTGGGGGCAACATGGCCAGGACAAAGCGCCCACAACTCCTAATTTAGGATTTTAACTTAAATTTAGGATTGAGGTCCAATGGAATATTCCATATCAGGCAACATCATGCCCAGTATATAGATGAGGGTGGGCCGAGAGGTTTGACTCTCCGTCTCTCTCAAACTCTCGGAGTTCTCTTGCTCTCTCTTGCTCTCTTTTCAGATCTCTCTTTTCAGGCCTCTTGCCCTTCCAGGATCGCAGTTTCGGGATCACTTGTTGGGAAGGGACAGGTGTTGGTCACCAGGTGGTGAGCAATTACACTGTGAATGACTTGTTCGTATATATTATTATAATTATATATATATTTTTGTATATTGTTATTACTATTTTAATCATTATTACTTTTAATTTTGTTTTGTTTCAATTATTAAATTGTTCTCATCTCAACCTATGAGCCTCCTTCCTTTTTTGCCTTTAATTCTCTCCCTCATTCCGCAGGTTGGGGCGGGGAGAGCGGGCAAGTAGCATTTAGGTATCGGCCGGGTTAAACCACACCACCATTAGGAACAATGCATGTTCCTTGTCCTCTATCTCATTTAGAATACCTTTACTCTTCTGATGCTTATATGCCATCTTCTAATTTCCTATTTAAATTAATCATGACAATTTTATAACTGTTCAACCTTGTATCATGACTAAATTCCCTCTCCCAATATACTTACTCCACAATACACTTCCACTCTCATCCAATTTTCCTCGCTTTCTTTCCAGATCTTGTTGGGAGACAGAACTGAGGAAAGCAAAATGCACAGCACCAAAGAAAGCAAGAACAGAACCATAAAATTGTGGCCCTGTGATAGGGACATTCTCTTGGGAGCGGGGTGAGTGAGAACCTGGGCTGCAGGACCTGGGTGTCCAGGTCTCCCGAGACTGCTTTTGCATTTTACAATGACCACAGAACAAATAAAATGCCTGTATGTCTGCAGCTATTTTTCCAAGTGATTAAGCCTGAGCTTGGATCAAACTGCAAGTTTGCACGGCGACCTTACATGCTAAGCCTATCCAGGTGGCATTCTACTGCTATTTCCAGGTAGTTTTAACTCAACAAGTAGCAGAGCAGAGAGGTTTTTTGCCTGACTGAATTCAACGTGAACAAAACGTGATTGGCAGACTCTTGTGATTAGGGCCCAAGTTCCAGGTACTCGACCTGTCATTACACCTACAGCAACAAATTAAATGTGCCTGGAATGGTTTTCTGATACTTAAGGTAAGTGAGTAGAACAATTCACATCATCGATATTTCCAAACTTTTTAAATCTTCAGAGTACACGTATGCAAATGATCTAGCTGAGATGTTCCCAAGCCCACGTTGATTCTTTAACCATGTTTGGGGCTTACACACAGTAAGGCCAGGCATTAGTGATGTGCCCCAGGTTTCAGTATCAGGGCCAATGCTTTTTTAACCTGTTCATTAACAACTTAGAAGACTGGAGTAGTGCAACTTCTCCAAGTTTGCAGACAACACAACACTGGGTGAAGTGGTTGGTACATCAGAGGTTTGTGCTGCCATTCAGAGAGACCTCGACACGGCAGAGAGGAACTCCATTAAATTCAAAGGGATATGCCAACTTTTCACCTGAGGAGGAACAACCACAGGTCCCAGTACCCAACATAGACTGACCAGCTAGCTGGAAAGAAGCTTGGCAGAAAAGGCCCTGGCAGTGCTGGTGTACACCAACCTGTAAGCAAGCAGCACAGCCTTGCAGCAAACAAGGCCAACAGCCTCCTGAGCTGCATTAGGAAGAGTGTTGCCTGCAGGTTGAGGGAGGTGATTTTCCACTCTGCTCAGTGCTGGTGAGACATCAGGAGTGCTTGGTCCAGTTCTGGGCTTCCCAGTACAAGGCAGACATGGACGTAGCAAAGTGAGTCCAGCAAAATGCCACGAAGATGATAAACGGACCAGAACATGTGACCTACAAAGACAGACTAAGACCTGGGACTCTTCAGCCTAGAGAAGAGAAAGTTCAGGGAGATCTTATCAATATGCATAAATACCTGATGGGGCCAGGGCAGAAGTAGAGAAGACTGAGCCAGTCTTCTCAGTGGTAGTCAAGGAAAGGACAAGAGGAAATTGGCACAAAGTGAAACACAGGATACTCCATTTACACACAAGGAAGAAAAAAACCCAAACAAACCTGCAAGGGCAATCAAACATGGGAACAGGTTATCCTGAGAGGCTGTAGAGTCTCTGTCCTTGAAGATATTCAAAACCCAACTAGACACGTTCCTCAGTAACATGCTTTAGTTGACCCTTCTCTGTGTAGTGTGCTCGAAACAGTCAGCAGTATCTCCAGAGGTCCCTTCCCACCTCAGCAATTCTATGCTTCTGCAGCTGTGAACAACTTCACACAGGAAAACTGACATCAACACCACTACTCAGATCTTGACATCCTATGAAGTTAAAAGCCTGTCTAAAATGTTTTGCACTTTGTATCAAACAGTAACAATCAGGGCACCATTTCATCTTTTGTGGAACTAATTTCCCACTGAAGTCTGGATCCAGTAACTGTTACAGTTGCTATGCCTACAAACCTCTGACTGGGGACCCACATTTCCATTGTGTCAGTGAACTGTACCTGTGGTTGAATCGCATCTTTAATTTAAAGAAAGAGAAGAAAACATGGTTCTCTTGCATCCATGAAAACAATTATAATACCTTATATTTGGAAATAACGGAGGAATGAGACAGCTTCTCTCAGACTTGGGATGAAGCTAGCAGCTTGCATTCCTCAGACGGACTTACCCTTAACAAGTACAGGAAGAAGACCATAAGCTACACCAATACTTTGAACAAAGCTCAACCTGGTGGACAGACTCTCACCAACACTTATCTAGCTTGTAGGTTTGATCTGGTAAGCAGAACTGTCAAATTTGTAAAAAGCCAAAGGGTTTTATGTATCTGTAAAGTTAACATTAGATGAGCAGGAATTCCAAGAATTTCAGAAGGTGCTCAAAACCAAATGTTAGTTTATTACATTTTGGCTTTAGCCATAGTCATTAAATTGAGACCTAAGAGCTGTAGTTCAGGTGCCCGTGTTTTAAAATGGAGTGATGAAGATCATCACTGTGTATCATGATACACATGACTCTGTATCAAAGATGGTGGAAATATAAAGATTATACAAAAATATTTATTATATAACAACAAAACTTCTAGAAACTAAGTCCTAGTCAGACCAAGTAGAATTAAACGTGCATTGAAATTATTTGACAAGTTATTTGGTGTACTAAATTATCTTGCTGGAATAACAGGTGAGGAAACTCAGTTTTTAGCCTTGTTTGTTTACTTTGTTTACTTCCATGGAAGTTGGCTCCTGGAAAAAGTTTACAAAATTGATACATTTGATAGAATTGACCTTTCCACCAACACTATGTGCGCTGACTGTAACTCCAGATGTTACAGAACAACCAGACACTAAGATAATTTTTCACATTTTTTTTCTTTACAAATTAGCATTATAGCGATCTCTGTTCTGAAAGTCTCTGTAAGCACGTTTTGCATCTGCTTTACTGTGCGGGATTCTTCCAAAAGGTTCCAGATCATTGAAGCAGGCATCAAAAACTTCATCCACAGCTTTTTCTGCCGTTTCTTTGCTAATTTTTCTAACAGCCAGAATGGAACGAATTGCTCTGTCTCGTACACAAGTCTAAAGTGGGAATTAAATAAAAAAAAAAACCAAACAAAAAAACAAACTGTCATTATTAGTATAAATACTTTTTTCCAGGTTTTGTAAAGTATTAACTCCTATTGCACATGCAATTATTTTGTATCACAGAAGAGCCAAACACTGCCTGTAACAAGCATTAAAGTACACTTTTGTTCCATCCTATGTTAACTATGTGTTTCAGTTTTCCATGTGCAAATAAACCCTTAGATCAGTAAAAGACATTCCTTAGAACAGGAATTAAAATACAATTTGGCATTTGTTGTAGGTATCAAGTATTTGTACAACTTGACTTGCACACAAGAGAAAATACATCAGAAAGAAACAGACATAAATACCAGTTAGTACTTTTTCAGTTGAAAAGCTATAAAACATAAAGAAACGACTCCTTTACCGAACTTCATTTTGATACCTCTCTTTATAGTAACTTTTGCTTACCTAGTCTGTCTACTAAAAGATAAAAAAGATGTAAACATCTCCAGCTACAAGCTAGCTGCCACTCTAATAACTTGGGACTCAACCCATAGTCTTCACTACTATCAAAAATATAATTTCTGTAAGACTTAATGCACTTGGTTATTTAGAACCTTTGTCATTCTCCTTCCTCCCATTTTCAAAGACTTTTTAGAGTTTTACTCACTTACAGTGTGTAAGGTATTCCCCTCATATTTCCTGCAAACCCTGTTTTTTGTTCGTTTCTTATTAATCATTCATTATCAGTGGTAATGCTCTATGATGTGACTAAGCATTCAGTAATTTCACCCTAACAAAAATAACAAGGTGGAAAAAAACCATCATGAATCATTAAAGGTTATTAAAGGTTAGTTAAGAGAAAAAAGCAAAGCCATAGCATCTACTTCTTTCTCTGATGTTTTCAGCTAAGAAAGTGTACAAGGCTGAGATCAAGTAGGTAAAGATGGCTCATAACAAATCAGTAGACTTTAACATCTACAGTCTTTACCTGATGGTGTCCTTTTAATCCAAATTTAAACCTGGCTATTTCATTCATCAGTGTACAGTCTCCACTGAGATTAGCAGCTCGAATCTATTGAGAAAAAAAAAGCCACATGATCAGAGAAACACATGAAAAAACCTAAGTCAAAAAAGCTGTAACAGATATTTTTCTTCAGTATCTTTGTGATGACTGCTTGCAGAGAATATTCCCAGGGCCACTTCTACTTATTAAGTACATATTAGTCTTTATATCCATGCTCAGCCTCAATAAACTGCAAAGTATTACTATAGAACCTATAAGTTTCTCCAGGGACCAAGTCTCACGTATTCCCAAATCTTAAATGAATGAGCAGAAAAAATTGGTTTATACATATATATATATACACACACATAAACACACACACATATACATGAACTGCTGAAAGAGCATGGAAGGTAATATTCTCTCCAATCGACATCAGAAGCTGATACAAGAGTCAGGAGGAAAGGCAGATACCTTCCACAGACTAGAGCTGCAATACCCAGAAGAGCAGTAACCCATCTGCTTTAGGAAAAGCCACATTGAAATGAGTATGTGTGTTTTAGCTTGTTAACTGTCTCATCCTGTACATTGTAATTTCTTTTGTCTGCCAACTGTTCCACACTCTAACCTCTTCGTTAGGAAATATAACTAAAACTAGATTTCCTATAATTAAGTACCAGAGTGAGAATAAACACATGGAAATTATGAAATCTAAGAATTAAAAAGCTGACAATAGAAACTGTAAACACCATATAATAAAACAAGTATCAAAAGACCTGAAACAAACAAATAAGCTCAACAAGAGCAAGAACAAGCACAATCTTGTTTTACATATATTCTCTAATTTTATGTTTGAGGCTTACATGTTTTATTCTGCACTGTGCTTAGATTAAAAAAAAAATAGATGATAGCTAGTAATTCTGAATTATTGTATTGAGTTTACATGACAAGATGTTGGCAGCAAAGGGCCATCATGGTTTATGTTGGCAGCTAAAGCCACCACGAGGTCGCTCGCTCACTCCTCCTCCATGACGTGGAGAGGAGAAAAATGTAACAAAAGGCCTGAAAGTCGAGATAAGAACTGAGAGGAGATCACCCACAAACCATGGCCCCGGGCAAAACAGACTTAGTTTAAGGACAAATCAGTTTAATTCATTAATAGTTCATTCAGACAGGATGACAATGGGAAGTTGCAGGTCAGTTTGTCACACATTGTTTCTGCCCCTCCTTTCTCAAAGGAGGAGGACTCCTTTCACTCTTTTCCCCCGCTCCAGTGGATCCCCTCCTCATGGGACAGTCTACAGATTTCTCCAATGTGAGTCCTTCCTGCAGGATGAAATTCTTATCCATCAGATTGCTTCAGCGCAGGCTTCTCCCCCACAGAGTCATGGCTTCTTAGGGAGCTGCCATCTGCTCCGGTGTGAGGTTCCTCCACGGGCTTCAGATGTCTCTCCAGCTCGTCATCAGCCTCCAGCAGCCTACGGAGACCATTCTTTACAACCTCTTACAGGCACAGGCACCTCTGCTCCAGCGTGGGGCTCTCCAACAGCTCACCGTTAATCTCCACAGGTGACAGGGGGGCTGCTACCGTCTCACCACGGGCAGCAGGGGAATCCCAGCTCTGGCACACCTCCTCCCGCTCCATCTTCACTGTTCTTGGTGTCTGCGTGGCTGTTTCTCTCAGGTCTCGTTCCTCTCTCCATTGCAGCCGTGCCGGGCTTGACAAACCTTGGCAGCCCCAGCAGGATGAACTCCACCCAGTGAGTGCCTCGGCAGCCGGGCGCTTCGGAGCTCTCCAAGCCGCACTGCTGTGGCCATCAGTGGTAGCCCAGCGTGGGCAGCCTCCCGCCCAGGAGGCCAGGCCCCCACCTCTCCCTCTCTTCACTGAAGGTCCGAGTAGGTTCAGGCTCCTTTGTCCTCATGTTAAAAAGGGCATTCACAGAGACGATGATTGGCTCAGCCCTGGTCTGAGGGGATGGGGGAGTCCAACCTGGCCACAGGCAGATCCAACTGGTTTTGGAGCTCAGGAAGTTTTTTCACAGTTACTTAACAAGGGCCATTTCTGCAGTCCCTCCCCTGCTACCAAAAGCTCATCACATAAACCCAGCACAGGGGACCGCCAGGATGGCTTCTGTGAGATGGGACAAGGGGCTGCCCCCATGTGAGACAGAGTCAGCTTCAGCTGGTTCTAAAACCGACTTGTTATTTGTCAAAGCTGAAGCCATCAGCGATGCCAGTGATGACATAAGAAAGGATAAAAACCACTACATGGCAAGAGTGAGAAAAACATGAGATAAACAGCCCCACAGACATTAAGATCAGCGAAGAATCTCAGACCAGAGAGTCCCCTGGCATTTGTGAAGAAGACCATGGTGACACAGGTTGTCTCCTGGCAGGCTGTGAAGGAACACAGTGGAGCAGATATCCATGCTGCAGTGCAAGGAGGACTCCACATCAGAGCAGATGGACATGACCTGAAAGAAGTTGCAGCCCATGGAAGGAACTGTGGCACATGGGGGACACACTGCTGGAGCAGTCCTGGCCTGTACGTCATGGAAAGGATCCAACCTGGAGCAGGTCTTGGAAGAAGAGCAGCCCATGGGAAAGACCCCCATTGGAGCAGTTCATGAAGGACTGTATACTGTGGGAGGGACCTCACACTGGAGCAAAGGAACAGCATGAGGAGGAAGGTGCAGCAGAGATAAAGTGTTATGAACTGATGGCAGCCCCCATTCCCCTGTGCCACTTTGTGGGGAATGAGGTAGAAGTCAGGAACGAAAGAGCAAAGTTGAGCCTGGAAAGAAGGGAAGGGGGGGAGGGGATGTATTTTTAGTTTTATTTCTCACTATCCTACTCTATCATTAACAGGCAATAAATTAAATTAATCTTCCCCAAGTCAAGTATATTTTGCTGATGATGGTAACTGGTGAGTGACCTCCATATCCTTATCTTGATCCACGAGCTTTTTAATTTTATTGTTCTCCCCTGTCCTGCTAAGGACGGGGAACCAGAGAATGGCTTGGTGGATGCCGGCCAGCCAGTCAAGGTCAACCCCCCCGCTCCATCCAGTTATCCAGAATGGCCAGAATGGATTTACAGATACCACATAAGGTTACTTCCTTAAGTTTCACCCATAAAAAGATAAAGGTAATATGTGACTGTGACTCTCTTCCACATCAAATATGAATTCAATAATAAATTAAAATTAATTTTTATGAAATCTGATTTGCTCTGCACCAAACTCAACATTTCAGTTCCCTCATATACTGTTTATAGGTGAAACCTGTGCACATCTTAAATCTGGAATCAAATATGTTCTCATTAGAAACAAACAAATAGAAAAACACATACCCCCCCAAAAAAAAGCCCAAAACAAAACCACAAAACCCAAAGCCACTATAACATTTTTTATATAATTTTATATATTTTCAAGAAACAGTTTAATTCACACAGTCACAAGAATGTACTTTCATATTATTAATCACAAGGGGGTTTCTGTGGTCAAATGATATAGATTACATCAGAAACCAACTAAAAGCATGTGAATACACACGACTCGTGCACAAGAGGAATCTTTACTAACCTGTTCTCAGTTTAATCTCACCTCCTAATGCATCAATTTTTAAGGCCTTTCAAGCAGCAAATTCCTATGTCCTCTGAAATGGACATGGAGTCATAACTAAAATGCACTATGAGCAACGTGACAATTAATGAAAAATATGTATTACAGGAAAAGATAAGTTTGTTATTAACCAAAAAAGTCTAAAAAAAAAATAAGGTTACCACACTACTGTGACAACTACCCAACATACCAAGATTGGCAGGGGAGAAAAAGAACTCTATAAGCATTTGATTAATGTGTGAATTTGTGTTCATCTCCAACTACTCTCTGTCCTGGTTTTAGCTGGGACAGAGTTAGCTCCTCTTTTTAGCAGCTAGAAGAGCTCCGTGTTTTGGTTTTACTCAGAGGCTCGCTCTGAGAAGAATGCTGATAGTGCACTGATGTTTATAGCTGGCACTGACGTCTCAAGGACTTTTCAGTCTGCCGGGTTCTTGCCAGTGTGCAGGAGCACAACAGGATAAGGGGGGAGCATAGCTGGGACAAGGGGTCCACGACTCTCCTTACGATTTATGCCTGAACTTAAGACTGAGGGCCAAACTGGCCAATTAGTATTACATATCATGCAGCGTCATGCCCAGTATAAAAGTGAGGGCTTTTGCCCTTCCGGGACTCTCACTTTCGGGTGCTCAGATTGTTTTCTCTCTCTCTCTCTCTCTCTCTCTGTCTTGGGGCCTCCTGTTCGTCCGGGACTGCGGTATCGGGATTTATCTGTTTCGGGATTGCAGCTTCGTAACGAGACAGGCCTCGGTCAAGGGGTGGTGAGCAATTACACCGTACATCACTCGTTTGCATATGTTTATCCTTGTACATATCTGTATATATATATATTGGTAGCGGTAGTAGTAAACTGTTCTTATCTCAACCCTCGGGTCTCTTCTCTTTTTCCTCTTTGATTCTCTCCCTCATCCCTGAGGTGTGGGAGGGTGAGAGGGGACTGTGTAGGGTATAGTTGCCAGATCGGCCTAACCCACCACACTCTCATTTATTAATAATCACCTCTTGTTATGGTTACACTCACAGCGACCACATTCTACTTAGTATGACACTGATTTATTAAAATTTGTGAAAACTAAGTATTTGTTTTCTGAATGAAACTGTCTAGGGTGACTTGACAGAAAGGACAAAATGCATTAACGGCATTAAACCACATGAAGTCTGTGTAACAGCGTGCCTATTTAAACATTAAACATCCCTAATAACAAGGAGTAATTAATATAATGACAATGTTAGAAGCATTTTAACTTACCTCTGAACATGCTAAGTGCTTGACATTTTTAAACCAGTCGACATGTGCACGACAGTGATCAAAGGCATGAATCAATTCATGTGTGACCACTCGGTTCATATGGGATTGGTGACGAATGTTGTTCTGACACAGAACAATCTGTAGAAGAAGAAATATAGGTAGTCCTTTCACCAAGTTTCCCCGACTCCCTTATTTCTCAAAGACCTAGCACTCATCACCTACAGCATTTAGACTTTTTAGATCAGTGGTTTTCAGCATTCACAGCCTCATCATTCTGCAGTGTACTAGTTCCAATAGCATGGAACATCTTTCATTTATCTTATTTTCATGACTTTAACTCTGATACAAACATTAGTAGGCTTAAGTAAAAAAACACTAAAAAACCCAAACTGTGGTCCTTTGCAAGGGGACAATGTCCAGTGCCTACCTGAGATGTGGCAGAATCAAAACCTCCACTGACACAGCCGTCACAGTTTTCACAAGAAAAGTGCCGGTCATTGAAGACAGTGCTGAAAGGCCCAAACAAACAAAGTTATAGCGAAAAATTTGAAAAAGACCAGTAACTCCATATAGCACTGATGTTACAACACAGAAAAAAGACAAATTAGTTTACATACCAACCAGACTGCTTCATAGCCTCAAGAAGAAGTTGAGCATATGGATCTAGAAAAACATTGCTGCAATCAATTTCTCTAGACAAAAGTTTTGAAAGTCATTCATAATGAAAATATAAAGACAGTCAAGGAAAAAAAAAGAAGAAAAAGGAAAAGCACTACACATGCAATGCAACTGGCATCTGTTGCATTACAGCTCAAGGTATGTAAAGCGATATAGAATCACGATATATGCAAAGGTATTCAGGAATCAAGCCAAAAAAAATTTTTTTAAGAATTAGAAAAAAAGAGATTAGCCTATAGTGACCACCGTTTTCAGTAACATTCACAGCCAACATTACGTAGTGAAAAGAGCACAAATGGAACCAGAAATTGACAAATCCTCTCAAATTTTCAAGAGAAAGAAATAGGAAAAAAAAAAGCACACAGTCACTTTTGAGACTGTATTTTCTTTGTCTTAACCAAAAATCACCGTGTTTATCAAGCAGCAGTTCCACCCCGCCCCCTGCTCGGGCCCCGTCT